GCGCCCTTTCCCTTTCTTCTCTTTGTTGGAGCGCCAATTTGGATCGGTGCCACGGGATCATTTGTATCACCGTGGGCGCTCTCCCATTCGGTCGAGGGGCCCGGAGGAGGCGGCGTTAATCCGGGAAACCCTGAGGCAGCCCACGCGTCCGCGGGACCACCTCCGGCGAGCGACCGCTTCTCGCACCGAGCCGACGTTTCGGATGTTCGCTGTCGGTGGTCTCGCGCAGGTCGCCGCCGCCGCCACCGCCTTCGGTCTGTGCGCGCCCAGGGGACCGCAAGAAATTGCCCGGTCACGTCGCTCCCTCCGCTCTTTGCTGCGTCTCTCCCTTTTATTTATTGCGGAGTAAAAGCCAAACAAATGGCGTACCTGCCGGAGAAAGCACTAAACGCGCGTTAACTTATTTCGGGGACGATGGCGTCGAGCCGTTCATTTTTCGACGAAACGCTTTCTAACTTTTAAATAAATGCTTTCTTCTTTTTCTTGCAGAAACGAAAACGGCGTGGACTACTGTCGAGCCAGTGAAAATGAAACTCGCTTTGAATAAGCGAATGAATAAAGCCCGGAGTTCTCGACGGACACGGCCCGTGCCTTTCCAGTGGCCCGCGGGCCTCCGAATGCGCGTTCCTGAGATGCAAAAGAGCAGTTCCCCGAGACGGTCGTGTGGCTGCTCCCGCCGCATCGCTGGGGGCATCCCGCTGCGGTGCACCATAAATTTCCAGCATTAGCACCGCGACTCCAACGCCCGAGCCTGGAGCGACGCTTTCTTTTTTTTCTCGTTCTTCCCTTTTCGCGCGAGGTCGAAGGGTTTCACTGAAGGGGTCAATCCTTTTCACTTGCCTTCCTTTTAGTGTTCCAGCTGCCTGGCGGAAAGACAAATTCAGGAATGTCCGCACTGTGCGCGGGTTCATAACCGGTTTAAAGGCACGCGTGGGCTGATCTCGACTGCCGCCGGGCTGGATGCGTCTGCGACCCATCCCATCCGTGGCAGCCCGCTGTGCGCTGCGCGCTCTGAAACTGAGACAGCTTGCACTGCGCCAAAACAACAGCAGCAGCGAAAGAAGCGAAATTGCTTTCGGCGTGTCGAGGAGGCGCTTCGCTGGCCCCCCGAGCGATTTTTACCGAGGTCCCAAGGACGCTTCGCTCGTGAAGGTCAGGATGCTGACCGGGAAAAAGCAAGTAACAAAAATAAAATGCACAAAAAAAAACAAGGGAATTCGTTGTGCCGTTGCATTAAAACAAAGTAAAAAAAAAAGTGTTGTACACGAGTTACATTGTGTTAAGTAAACTGAGTTTTTTATTTATTGTTTTTTTTTTTTTTGGCGGTTGTGGAAAGTTTAGAAGTGAAAAACGGTCGTAGTACATTTCCCAGAATGTAAGTTGTGCTGTACTAACCTAAAATAACGGTGCTGCTCATTTGAGGTGGATTTGCGAGGCACCAGACCTGCTACACAGAAACCGACTGGGGCCCCTGTCTCGCGACCACAGCTCGGATGTGTGTCGCAAGGCGCCCCGTGCTGTTCTGTCAGCACAATGACGCTCACTTCTACTCTATATTTATCGGCTCTCCCTACGATTCTTTCACACTTGAAACGACGAAAGCTAGCTTTTTGTTCGGGTGTATATGCTGCCTTCCATTCATGAGCAGTATCGTAGGTGATGAACGCCAGATGTTCTGAAGGTAGAGTGCGAGACGCACATTTGCATTTGAGAGTTAGTCTTTGCACCGTCATCCTCCATGAGACATTAGACATACCTCCATGATTAGGGGAAAATCGCTGTAAGACAAGGATAAAGAGAAGGAACATCTCTCTGCACTTGTCTTATGGCGCTGTTTTCCCCTAATCATGTACGTACAACTACTACCAACTAGCTCAACTATCCACCTTACTACGTACCTCCATGGCCTAATGATGGCTTTTATTAAAATTACAACGCGCAGGATCAAAGAACTGGCCTTCCTGATGTCCACTCAATCAACAACTCAGTAAAATGAATCGCCTTGCACTTTCTCTAAAAGCTTAGCCAAGCCTCCAAAATTATTCCCCTTTGAAATGGCGCATTCGTAATGCTCATTATTATTATATTCGGTGCGACCTTACGTTACTTACAATTCACACCTGTCCAGTACATTAGTATACTCCATCTGTATTCGCAACTTTTACCAGTGGTGGTACCGCGGTGTGAGAATCGCGCTCCATAGTTCGTGAATGATCGACTTCACCATAAGGATGCTTGCATACAACTTTCCAACATAAAAAAGAGGTAAGGCTCTAATATCGCGAGTATTTAACAAAGCTAGAATTACCTAGGTGTCGCAGACCGAACATCGTACTGCTGTCGACGTCGATCATCCAGAGGAGAGCCATTTTGATATACAGTCCTTTTGTAATATGCGTGTTTTTTTTTTTTTTTTTTTTTGTTTTTTTTTTGGGGGGGGGGGGGGGTGGGGGTTGGGAAACCGACTGTTGTTGGGACGTACTGATAAAATTCACGCTTATAAGTACCGCCAAGCATTGTATTGGAAACGCGGAAGACAGGTGTCACGAGCAGCTGCTCCGCCGCCATACGCTTTCAAGGACCGCTCGAGACACGGGCCTCGTGCACTGACGCATTTGCCGCTACTTGCGAGACAAATGCAAACACATCGAGGGGCTTTATTTTTATATCTGCCAGTAAGCCCCCTATAGTTAGTGAAAGTTGCGAATAGTAGATTAGGCCAAGTCAAAATCACGCCGTCTCTATCCTGATGGCGAATTTTCGAACGTATAACAAACGCAGCTCCAGATTTGGGATTCGGGCGGGCTGAACGAGTCTCGTTCGGGGGGTGTATTAGCTAGAACAGGCAAACTGACTGCTGAACAGTTGTTGACCACACCGGCTACTTTTGGTTAGCTATCTTCTGGAGATGATCTATCGTGAAACATGGTCGTCCAAATTACTTGGGGGTTATTGCATGCGCCAGTACACGTGCACACATACTCGCACATCAAAGGGTGGTGTCAGCAAATGGGAGGGAGCAGCACTTTCACTTCCTAGAAAAGTTGAAAACACGGTTGGTGGATTTCGTTCAATGGATATCACTTCTAAAGTCTCACAACGAAGTAAAAAAAAAAAAATAATGATCAGAGCTCCATCAAGTTTTTAGAGCTCTTAGAGGTTCACTCTAGCACAGTGGCGTAATCAGTATTTCTTTTTTCTTTGGGAAAAAAATGGGGAGGGTGTGTGTGTGTGTGTGGGGGGGGGGGGGGGGGGGGGGGGGAGGGGGTAGATGACTCGGGGAGCATGACTCGTAGATGTGCATAGAGCCATGGTCCCTGAGCCATTGCTCTATGCGTATGTTCGAGGTATGACAATTTAATTTCCAGAATGGCCGCCGCGTGATGCTGGGGCGGTGAATGACAACGATTTGTACGCTTATCTGAAACGCAAACCTTATAAGCCTTGAATGAGAACATTTTCGACAGAAATCTGTCGTTTTTAGGGGAAGACTCCAGGAAAAGCCTTTTTCGGATTTAGTCCTCGCGAGCCCTGATGAAGAAACCGAGCAGGTTTTGAACGTCGGGCTGAACCGTTTTTTGGATTTTGGTTGGAGCACTTCCAAGTTCCGTCTAAACCTTTTAAGCCTTTTAAGCAGCAGAAGTTCTACGTGTTCGTATTACGTTGTGGGTGGAAGATGAGTAACAACCTCTCTGAAGCCTCATTAACATCACGTTGTGTGTAACGATTGGTAGATGTGAAAAATTAAGCCGGGTTCACACTGCTTATACATCACACAAAGGACAGTCTGCAAACAGATTCGAACGCAAGTCACCACGAGATTCGTGCTTCGAATGCCGCATGTCAACGAGAGCAAGGAGAAACTTCGAACGCGGCATTCGAACTACGGATATCGCGGTGACTGATGTTCGTAGATTGTCTTTTTTGTATGATGTATAAGCAGTGTGACCCCGACATATTATATTGGGTTGTGTGTGTGTTTATACAGCCTAGAACTTGGTCTGCCTCACAGGGGCGACGAGTCTCCCAGCTGTAGATGAGAAATTTAGCCAGTGCGGTACAGCCGCTAGCCTGGGGTCTTTAACGTGCACCACGCAGTAGTGATACACGACCGCACGCCGGTACGATGCTCATCCAGATCGAAACGGGCAGGGGTGGGGCTCGAACCCAGGATCCCTGGGTTCTGCAGCGCGAGCTTTCGCTCCACGTGCTCCGAGCTGGTGTGCGCTAGACCACTCGGCCAACGATCCCCTGTGACCCCGACTTTAGCCCTATAGGGTGCTTTCATGCGCGCTTTGCTTAGGTTTATGACATATCTGGCCATTTCGTTCCGAACGCTTATTTTTCTTTTTTGATCCGAAGCGCGTGAAAAAGCGTTTCTCTGCACGGGCTCTTAGCGTTGACGGCGCTACAGAGACATTTTGTTTTCGGCGATTTCTTCGTATTTTCCTTTTCAGCGCGTGCTGTCGGCATTGGGTACTACAAAGGATGTCATCACCCTAAACAGAAGGACGTTTAGGCATCCTAGTTAGCCCTATTAAAAATAGCTTATGGGAAACATGCTAGGAAGAAATGGAGTGTTTTCAAGGACACATGTTTGCAGGAAGGTCGAGAGGATGTGCACGATGATGCAAGGAGTGAGCAGCAAACAAAATCGCAAAGGAAGATCGAAGATTAGGTGTGCGGCTAGTAGCACAACAGGATCTGAATAGGGAGACAAGCCAAGTTATTATTACTGAGCATTTGGAAATCAGAAAAAAATTCACCAAAGATGGTGCCTCGACTCTGACGTGAATTCTCCATTACTGCCAAGCCCTGCGCATGAAGCCTCATACGCGCCTGCTTAGGAAGATGCTAAAGGTTTTTTGTGGTTTTGTTTTTTTCGCTCCAAACTGCCGTAACGACATAGCTGTGTCCATTCGAGTTCAGGCTGGCTCAAAAAAGATAAGCTGGCTAAGAACGGAGGCGTTGCGACAGCCCTTCAGAAATGAGTCGTCCCATGTCTCGATGCGGTCTGAGATCTTTATTGCAGAGTCGCTCGTCAAGTCGACGGTAGCGGGGATACACGGGGCGGTGTCCCGACGATGAAGCTTGCAGTACAGAGCGCGTGGTGTGATATAAAGCACATACCCATCGAACAACACGGCGCTCGCCATCTTGAAGACGGCAGCCCAAAGAGAAGAGGGCCTGCCCCACGGTTCCCCCACAACTCCTTCGTTTGCACAAATAAAAGAAGCCGTGCCGTTGCTCGCGACTGTCACTCGCGTCCGTCCAGCGATCGGCGGCACACGCAGTCCACAGGGCTCCGAGGGCACAGTTCCGACGACTCCCGGATGCACACTGCGTGGCACAGGAAATGAGTCTCAGCCGAGGGCGGCTCCGGGTCGCTCGACGCGACAGTTCACCGCGTCCCGGCCGCTGCTAGGGTTCGGCGGCGTAATGGCCCACTTAGAACGGCAGGTTCCTGCGCACGAACAGGTACTCGCTGAACTGTTGTCCCTCCACGCCGCCGCCGTTGGACGCCATGACCCGGAAGCCCGCGTTGAGAAGCCGCGTGATGGTCTGCAGCGAGTTGAGCTTGCAGTAGCCGTTGAGAGGGAACCGGATCACGTGTTTGGTGTCCTGGTTCCAGGCGACACCGCTGCGGGCGTCCATGAGCGCCTGCGCGATCTCCGGGAAGACCTGCTCGACCAGGGCCCGCTCCCCGCTGATGACGATGCGCTCGCCCATGTCCGGACTGATGTTGAGCGCCAGGCACTGGTACGAGGCGTCCTGGAAGCGCTCGGCGTCCTTCTCCGACGGAGAGACGAGGCCGTCGCAGTGGTTGGCCGGCGGCCGCTTGCTCTGCTTGGGGGCGCCGGGGCTCAGCTGGGACGTGGTGCTGGCGATGGCCGCCGGGCTCGCCCCTACGCTGGCCGCACGTCTCCGCTGCTGCGCCTGCTCGCGCAGGGGCTCCAGCTGCCGCGTTAGCGCCGGGATATCGTAGTAACGGGCCTCCTCGTACAGCAGTTCCAGCTCCGGGAAGTCGGCCGGCACGGCCACCGTGTTGGTGCGCAGGAAGTTCAGCACGTGCCGGAACATCTTGCCATCTCGGTCGATGAAGTAGTGCTGCTTCAGACTGTCCAGCACGATTGGGATGCTACCGTTGAACATGCGCGCCAGCCGGGACTCCGGGTGCCTGCAACGACAACGGCGCTCAATCAACCAACTTATCCGCACAACTGCGCGGCAACAAACACATCGTTAGCCCGACTTCCCTGTGGCTCAAACTGACGCTAAAAGGAATCTGTTGGGGTTTTTGGAGAGGTCTGTTGCCAACATATGCATCCGAAAGTCATTTATAGCCTTCAAAACCTGTTATACTTCGTCTTAGCATAACATAGAGGGTTGCTTTGGCTGATGCCCTCTCTGCACAAGCCTTCGTGAAATACAGCGACCCTAAAATTTAGGGGGCACAAACGCAATTCATCCGGGCATTACAATGCATCACGCGAAGAAGCGCTCATTTTTAGCCTGATATGTCTTTTTGTTAATTTTCGTAGAGTTCCTTTCGGGCTTTGTTTTCTTACAGGAATTCAGAATGGAAGCAAAAGCAAAATTGTTGAGAAATCGATCGGTACAAATAGATCGCATTAGGAGAGATTATTAAATTAATTGTTGCACTTAATTCTAAAGCGGCACCCCACAATTCTCGAACACGCTCGAGGCTTTACTTTTTAATGCCTTTATTCGGAGGGCATGCAGTTACTTATTCAATGTGACGCCGCTGAATTAACCGTCGTGGTCGCGGTTCGGTAACCGTGTTTAGAAACCCACTCGGTGCACCGCTCGTTTAATGTGAAGGATCGTCGTCTTTCTGTTGATAGTTCCTCGTACAGCTTTCGACGGTTCATTCCACTCTACATATCGGACGGGAAGAGCTCATCCATCATGAGTTTCGGCCTGCCTCCACTTGACTAACCTCGTGCGGCGTTAGAAAAGCTTCCGACCAAAATAGAAAATGTTAGCTTCTTGATTCCCCCGGGGCATGAGCGTGACCCACCTTCCATCTTTCTACGCAAACGGAGATAATAATAATTAAAAGCGCTCGTGCAGAGGAATACCCCATCTCAAACGTTCCGTGGAGTGGTGCTTGCAGGAATAGACCGACCCTTACAAAAAAAAAAAAAAAAAAAAGAATGAAACGAGTTTTAATTGATATTGTAAAGGATTCACTGAATTGAGTCTCAATTGAAACTATGAAACCATAACAGGATATTGGCCACGGAGTTTTAATTAAATGCTTCGCAATTGCATTTCAATTGAATTTTTGGCAGTAGTGTTTCAATGGAATTTTTGCAACTGTCTTTCAATATAAGTCTTTGCAACTGCGTTTAAAAAAAATTCTGTAACTCGTTGGGAATTTTTATTTCATAATTACTTAGAGCATAGAACATGGAGGAAACGAAGCACATGAAGGAAACAAGCAAAACATCATACAGCACTTACTACACACTAATCACACTCTCACTCAACACAGTAATCACACTCTTTATACGTATGATCAATGCGTGGCGAAATATAAGACGAATGACTCAGCAGTCGGTTGTGAGGTAATGAGTTAGTATGGTATATCTTATGACAGAGACATAAGCGAGCTATTTTGCGACGTAAATTGAGGTTAGGCATTGATAGACTAGTTTTCATTGAGCTCACGCTTGCGGTTCGATGAAAGTTATTAGGAATAAAAGCGAGCGGAACGATACTGAACTGATTCCAGGGCGTTAGTTAGTTTGGAATGACCGGGGTCCCAGATAGAAGAAGCACATTGTAATTTAGAGGGTACAAGCGTTTTGTACAGTGTTAGTTCGAAGATGAAGGGGCAAGTGAAAAGTTTTGTTTTAGATAACCCAGCATTCGATTAGCGTTACTAATAGCATACTCAACATGCGTTTGCCAGGAAATACCTGAGGTTATATACACACCTAAGTATTTATAAGAAGAGACAGAAAGTGAGGGGACATCTTCGAGAAAATAAGAAAAATTACATTTAGCGATACTCTCGTGGCCTTGCATTTAGTCGTGTTAAGTTCCATCCCCCACCGCCGTATATACCCTACATATGAAAGGTATTCATTTGGCCGGTGACCACCTCAGCATTTATAAGGGTTCCCAGAATGCTATCCCCTCCTCGGAAGTCTGATAAATGATAATCAGTGTTTCGGCGTCATTAAACTTATCCCATACTTGCTAAAAAAAAAAAAAAAGAAAAACATTGGTGCAAGCAATAATCGTTCAGTGCAGTCGCTAAATCCACGAAAGCGATTCCTAGCTGGTATGTTATTGCTTCTTTGCATAGTAGCACTCAGGACAAGACCAGGCACGGTAGTTGCTCACTTTAAAACATTTTATTCCTTTTTTTTACGAATTGACTAGTATAATAGGCTTAGTGATTTCATTATAATCACTGGCAAAGTGAAAAGGGCATGGCGTGTCTTTCAAACTCCCGGCCTTCAGCACCCGCTCCATGCTTTCCACCATGCTTCGACAGCTCGCGCGCGATTGATTGATGTGCGCGATGCGTTGAAGCGTTTTCAAGGGGGAGACTGAAGGCCCGTTCACACTCTTGCGACCTCTTAAAAGTGGGTTCCTTAAAACCTCTTACAACCAGAGGAGACACTTGCGCCATCTATTGGGTAGCAGTGTAAACTCGGCGGTCCGGCATATTTTCTATTTCTCTCGCGCATTATCCTTTCTTTCTTGGCTCAAAAAACCTTTGTCAACGTTATAAACGAACCTTTCATATAGGTCTCACGCACATTTGAGCTCGGAAATCCCGCAAAACCTTCGCTGTTGTGAAATGCAGTTCCAGGGTCACCGCATAGATGGCGCCGCAATGCCAGTGTGCTCTCTCGTCCTAAGAAATTTTAGGAAGTTTTAACAGATCTCGTCTCTCTCGGTCGTACTCGGTCGCAAGAGTGTGAACGGGCCTTCAAGCTTGAGGGGAAACACGTGAAGCTCCTCCGCGTTGTTCTCACCTTGTCAGCGACCTTAGAGTTAACATAATGCACGATATGCTCTCGAAGGTGTCAAAAGTTATGGTTTCCATTTCTTGGACCAATAAATCTGAGCAAGTATGTTTATTCTGAGAGAAATAACTCATGGTTATTTGCAGCTGTGCCCTTGCTGGGTTCCTCAAGAGCAAAGGGCGCAAACCAGCTGATGTCAACTACTCAATTACAAAAACTCGTTTGAATCTCCAATGAGGAGACAAAGAAATGTCTGTCAAGTAATACAACTCAAGTGCATGTCCAGTGACTCAGCTCAAAAATAAGAAATGACAAAAGATATCTATACATCTAATGAGTAAGCTTAAAATAATCAATACTGAGCTCTTAATAATGAAACTCATTTGCAAATGTAATAAGTAAATTCAATATAATCGATATTGAGTTTTTGATGATAAAACTCGTTTCCATGTCAATTGAGTAGATTCAAATGAATAGATATGAAGTTCATAACGAACAAACTCATTTGCATTTTTAATAAGTAAATTCAAACGAATATATAATAAGTTCTCAATGACCAAATTCAATTGCATTCCTAATGAATACATTCAATAAACTCGATACTGAGTTTATCATGAATCAAACTCAATTGCGTTCCTAATGAGTTAATTCAATAGAATCGATATTCAAGTTTCTTATGATGAAACTCGTTATACGTCGAGTTTATATTGAGTTTCAATTGACTCTATAGGAATGCATTAGCAACTCAACTGAAACTCATTGATCATATTTGTGAGGGGAGGGCGTGTCTAAATTCCCGCGGGAACAGAACACTGTGAAGAACTATGCTCGTGCGCCTGTACCTTTGACTGGCATTGCGTTAGCCTGTTACCGTGTATATTATAGCATTAAAATATTTATTGCGAATTAATCAAGTGCTCTACGCTTCCAAACTGAAAATGATACAAAACTAAAACCATCCAGTCTGAAATCCTTGCTCGTGCAGCGATTGAACCCTATGGTCTTGGGTAGAGAAGCTATAGTTGTTGCGAGGTGGGTTGAAATGACAGGTTTCCATCGAAGGAAAACGCGGGTTTGAGTCTGAGAATTTTAGTGATCAAAGCAGTAGGCTGGTAGCAATTTTCCGAAACTCGCTTTTTCCTCCCACAATTTGCCACGCGCGATGCACGCAACAGGCACAGCAGCGCGTCATCAGTCAGCGTTCAAGAAGGCGCTCAGTATACAAACCGCGAATCGAGTCGTACAATGTGATACAGTGTCCTCGGAGCAATCGAAGAAAGGGAGCAGGCCTGCGTGCGCACAGCGACCTTTTGCTGGGGGCGATAGTCGGGACACGCCCCTGTGCCGGCGAAAGCTCCCCGAGCGGTTGTGGATCTAATCCGCGGTACTTTGCATAACTGCCCAGCACGGGACTGGGAAAGAAGATCGTGAGCCATGCACAATGGCCGCCCGCAACAAACACAGGACGCTCAAAGCGAGCATTCGGTCGGAAAATGCTCTCGAAAAAGGGGGCGTCGCGCGCGTTTCGTCCGCAGGGCATCGCAGCCGTGCAGTGGTATTGTCATATAGTAGTAGTTCCTCGTAGTGGTTAAACGTCTCCTTGGTAAGCATGGCACTAGAATCGCTGGCATGGACAGGACTATAGTGCTGGTACAACACGTCCGATTTTTACTCACTGAAGAGCAAATAACGCACGTACTTCGTGGCGTCAAGTCGCTGCACAACTTGCGTGCAATCTGTTCAGAAATTGTAACAAGGCAGTTTTCCCCGATCTCTGGCAAACTAGGCATGCCACTTGGATGCCGCTGCCGGGCTTCACCTTAACCTGCCCTGCGTGAAAATATCCCACATTTTACAGAACTCGAGCGCCGCCTCATGACACGCGAAACTCGATGCCTTTAGCAAAAGCCATGCGCCGTGTTGGACCCGCGAGACGCGTCCGGTTCGGATGGCCGCTTATGGAACGGTGCCGTTCACGCCCCCGCATGCCCCCAATAATCCCGCGCGCTCGTCATCGTCCTTATTTCCCAATCGGCCGTTAAAGCATCCGACCCGTATCGCGAGCGGTTCGATTGCCTCAAGGCCAAAAGCGGCGGACGTTGAGGGCTCTAATGACCTACGGCGGTGAGTGATATGACACCAGAAACGCTCTCGTATGGCTCTAAATGTC